AACTTTTCCTTCTTCATTAACTTAATTTAAAGCCCAGAGACCATCTTTTGGTAAACTGCAGTTTGATTACATTATGCCAAAACACTGTGTCAGGACAATGCAAGTGTTAAGCTATCCCAGCACAGTGTCAGAACTAGTGAAAGAACCCCACTGTATTTTGTGGAGCTGTAAAGAGAATGGGCCTTTGATATCAATTCTTAAACCTCTGACAAGCACCTCTGGCTAGGCTAGTGGCAGTGATTTAAGATATTACTGCCTTTTCTGGTGGCAGTTACTATTTCCCTAGGAAGGTCATCCAGGAAGGATTACGTGCCTTCTCCTCCTTTGCATTTCATAGTCTGGCTTATTAGTTTTAAACAGATGATGAAAGGGAATAGGCAGAAAGAAGAAATAATTTGAACTATAAGAGCAATATATCAGAAAAAAAAGATGCAGACACGATTAGAGCCTTTGCCTCTCACAGATGTTTTTACCTTATAAAATGTCGCAGTTATTCCAGTCCCTTTTGCTGTAAATAGATCCATTGAATTTAAAAACCAAGCCAAACAAATTCTGCTTAGATGAAATTATTATTTACCAATGGTATTCTTTCAAAAACCTCCCTAAACTCAGTTCTGTTAGTGAATAATACAGTGTGCTAGCCTAAATTTTCCTTGGATGTGGTGAAAACTATAAGTGGCCAAAAGCTCCTACCTGTGACAAAGATGTTTTCCACCTTTTATATAAGGAGATATCTAATTTCCATCATAAATTTCAACCTTCTAATGACAAGTTTACCACAAGTAAATTAAAGAAGTAAGCAAATAAAAGAAGAGTCTAGCATTTTTCTTCCTACACATCTCTTAACATTGATCACGCTTTTTGAAAACCAGTGACCTACCATCAGGCTATAAAATACCAGATGATATATATTATTTCTATTTTTCAACTTTTAAAAACAGCTGCACTTCTATGTATAACAACCTTATTAAGCTATGCTGCTATACAGCTTTCATGTCTTGTGCAAACCTTACCTTGTAATAGTTTTCATCAGCACTAAGAGCTTTAGAGAGTCCAAAGTCACTTATTTTGGCATAATGTTGGGTGACTAACAGCACGTTCCTTGCAGCCAGATCTCTATGAACAAAGTTATTCTCCTCCAGGTACTTCATCCCCATGGAAACCTGATGTACCAGCTCTGTTATATTCTTCTCTGTGACATGTCTGAAAATCATAATTGAATTTTTAAGAGGTCAGGAGGTTTTTTTAATGACTTTTTGTGGAATTCAAATATAAATCTTTACTATGAACTTCCCCATATCATACTAGGAACCTGATCCATTTATGTTTAGCAAAGCTTTAATTAAAACAGGCAGCATAAGAATGTCCTGAGAAAGATGATGTATGATCATGTCAATAAATCAGCAATTGAAGGACATGTGAAAATTCTTTCATTTATTTGAAGTGCACTATTCTACAAGAAATATTTAACAGTTAGGAGACATGAACAAGACAATCATGTCCCAGTGAAGAGTAACTACAGTCATTAATGATTACGTTAACAACATATCAATTTAAAACTGCCCTTAAAAAAGTAAAAAAAAGAACCTGTATCTTTCCCCCCCTGTGGATAATCCTATGAAATTGAATCAAAGATTACATACCTATTTTTTTGCAAAAATTTGTTCAGTGGCCCAAGTTCTGCCATTTCCATTACTAACATCCAGGCCTCAGCTTCACATATGCCTATCATTCGGACAATATATGGATTATCCAGTTGCTGCATTACATTTGCTTCTCTCAGTAATTCATCCTTTATGGCTGGGTCATTACTCTCATTCTTAAGGATTTTTACAGCCACTGGCTTGGCACCCCTACAAAAAAGAATCCAGTTCTGGGGTTAGTTGATGAAAAATCTGTGTGCGAATGCACAGAATTTTCATCTGATCTTTCTGTGCACATAGTATAAACTGTGACAAAAGACAGAATTGACACTCAGAGGGGAAAATACCTGAGTGTAACAGGAACGTCTTTCTATCAAATGCTCAGAAGACAGTTAAGTAAAAGTCAGAGAATGGAAAGAACCTGAAAAGATTATAGATAGTCAAAAAAAGTCTTAAGCATGAAAACAAGCATACTGGATGAAGTTTTCTTGCCCATTCTGGCAAGACTGCCATAAAGGTTTTCTAGCAAGAGAAACTATTGCTGCCTTTCTAAGCACTGAGGTGTTTCGGGGGTGAGACTGGAACATGTAGCACTGCAAGGCTCCAAGGCAGTGCTCTGAAGTCCTGAGAAACTAAGCCTACTCCTGCAACCTTCAGGTCATACAACTAAGTGAGAGTGACTGATAAAATCGACAGAGCTCAAGTGTGAAATAAGATGAGCAAAGACACAAGCTTTGCCTCTAGCCCTTCAAATTCCCTCAGACTGCACTGGAAAAAGAAAAGTCCTTCCTGGCTCTGAAAACCTTGGTTAAAGAAATGCCTCCAGCTTCAAGTGGTGAAAATGTACACATTATCAACCCATGCACTTAAACAACATACTGATAACATTTTACTATGAAAATGCATGAACAGTCAGGTGCTCCCACTTCTGCCAGAATAAACAGGGTCTGTTCCTACTGCAATTACATGCTAAAAGAGGTCACAACATGTTCTGTCTTCTTGAAAATCAACATTCCAGCTTCATGAAACAGGTATTATCGTACTTATTTTGAGTGAAAATCTCTTTGCTATAGGTAAGCTGTCCATGGCACTCTACACTATTTCTCAAAGACAGGTTGTGCAGATGGGAAATACCGAGTAGCGTGACTGCCCATACAAACTATGGAGGAAGGCAGCAGACTTCCCACTGTGCTATCCCTGACAGCAGAGAAAATAGTCATAAAGGGCACTTCCTCACTTGACAGACAAAACTAATGGCTGGGAGATGACTATGCTGCAGGCAAAGAGGTGTCTACAAACAGAGGAAAAGAAAATGAGTGCATAGAAAATGAGTGTACAAGTGTATGCACAGAAAGAGAAACCGGTGAATGTTAGCCCATATTACTTAGGTACAGTCTGTCACCCCAGACGACATGCAAAGATTACTGCTGCTTTGAAAAATAAAGGCTAAAGCTTTTACATATTAGACTCCATGAAAAGAGAAGGAAAACACTTACTTCTTCATCTTATAGAACCCTTTCTTTACAGTACCAAAGTTGCCAGACCCAAGTTCTCCTTCCTCCAGAGTTAACAACTTCCTGTTGAGAGTGACATTTTTTGGTTTAATTTCATCTGGATCCGCATACGGACTTTCATAGACCTCAGTATCCATGGGTAAGGCCTCTCTCTGATCACCTGCAGTTCAATCAATGAAAAAAATTAGACATTATGTGAGATTTTTGCTGCTACAGCTACTAAATTTGCCCTTCTATGTCCAGGATCATCAGTGTGTTTGACCCACAGGCAGCCCAGCTACAGGCCCTTTAGAACACCCCACGAGAGACCGACCTCCACTCGGTGACACGCTCTTAACTACTGAGCATCTGTGCCATGTGAAACCAGGAGGTTCTTTGACAGAAGGCAGGTTAAAGGCTGCCTCTTCTCCTTAGTATTTCCCATTAGTTACTTTGGACAATTCTTCATTCAAAATGCTGCCTTAGATGTAATTCATTCTTGGGCACCCACCTCTAACTGCATTTTACAGAAAGCCTGAGAACCAACTTGGCATTGTGGATGCAACAGGGCACAATTCTTTTTATGAAGTACAAGGAAGTAATAATCTTTCACTTCAACATGGAAAAAGGGATTTCTGCTAAATTACTTTTATTACAGATGGTGACATTTGGCAGTTTTATCTACTAGGCTTGAGCTACAATAGTGGCTATACCAATACACAAGATGGTGTGAAATATAAGCAAGAAAAAATACAGGTGAAGAGAGACCTCTGACATAAAGAAGGAAAGTGTATTAATGACATAAGTAACTCTGCCTACCTTTTTCTGCTCCTGCAAGACCCCTGTTCCTTTGCAGCACGTAAGGATTAAAAGGTGCTTCATCAGGAAGATGGCCAATAGTTGGCTGAAACTGTGGCACACAAATGGAGATCTTATGTTTATCAATGAATAAGTAAGTTGAAAGCATATTTTTCCCTGAGGATTATGGCATATTGGTCGCAAGAGACATACAGGTGAGAATCAGAAAGTAAGAAAGAGATCCATCAAAGTTTGTTTCATTCTGGAGGTTATCGCTTGAGTAGATATGCAAGCCAAATGAAACATAAACTGCTAAAGCTTAAAAAGTTATTGCAAATATTTCAGAGCATTTGATCTGAGAGAATAAACTGGAATGGGTCATGCACAAATCTTATTCTGCAGATATTAAATTGATGTCCTCTTTGCAAACCTGCCTACAAGGCAGAAGTAGTCAATAGGATTCAATTCTGCCTACAAAGGTAGTCATAAGAATTTCTCTTTAATGTGTCCTACCTCCCTCTCCAAGTTATCTCTCTCCATATTTACGCCATAGAAAAATTTCTAGCACAAACAAAACCAAAAACCACTTCTCTGTTTCTCTTGCGGATGTTATAGAGTGACCCCACTTGGAAGAAACTGGGGCAAAAATACAATTATTTAA